CAGCGCTGTCTGGCAGCGCTGGCAGGCAGTACTTCGCCAGCGTTAGACAGCGTTATCATCCCAGAGTTATGCCAGTGCTGTCTGTCAGCGTAGCTGCCAGTACTGCCAGTGCTGGCGCAGTACTCCGCCAGTTTTAAATTTCCCATTGGGTAGATGTAATTTTCAAATTGGGGGGCATTTATCCGCACTTTACCCTAATCTTAATTTTAAATATTACCATTTTTTTTATTAAAAACTGAAATTTTTTATTTTATAACTTAATAATTATGACTTCTTATTTTCTTTAAATGAAAAAGTGAGTTTCAATATACCAATGATTAAATTTAAGTTTGATTCGTGTTTTAAATTTACATGTGAATCTTAATTTTCTAATTTGAATTTTAGTTCCCATAGCACATGGAAGAAGCTTTCAGTAGAACCTTTCTAAGCTTCCTTTGCAAATTTAAGGGAAGGTTTCTTGAAGCTTAAAATGTTTAAAACCTTAAAGGAAGCTTCCATCGGAAACACAAGGAAAGCATCCTCAGAAATCTTTAGGGAAGTTTCCCTGAAGCTTCCTGAATTTTGACTTATTTATATATATTATACTTATTTCTTTATAGTCCAAAAATAAAATTAAAAAAATCTTTGCTGAAATTCAGAAACAAGTATAAAAAAAGTTTTATTTATTTTTTGTATTCCATAAAAAAATTTGTATCTCAATGTGAGCGTGTTTACTGGTTTAAAGTTTGTATAACAAAGCTCTATTTTACAGCCTCTTTAACTCTTCATCTATTCACCCTCATTATTCAATTCTCATGGATTTTTTAATTTCATTTTCATTTTATAATATATACTTTTCACTTGTTCCTTAAAAATCTCAGTACTACCAATTATTTTATTTCCTCCTGTCTTCCGTTGATTTTCAATTCACGCAGTTTAAAACTTTTCGAATCATGCTCTCTTGTAACAGATTTTTGACCGACTTGACTCGACTATCGGAACATCCATTTTGTCTTATCCATAATGTAGTATATAAATATTAGTTTGTGTCTGTACGCAACTAATTTTTTTTGTTTTGTTTCGAGCTTAGAAAAAACGAACTGCAAGTCTACTTTTTCCTTCACGTAAAGCGCTTTATAACCAAGCACTGAGTTTTAAAAAAAAACATTGAGCATGCAATTTTCCGCCCTACGAGGCATGATGCATGTGAGCATTATATATATATATATATATATATATATATATATATATATATATTGTATGAATGAAAGCTTTCTCTTTAAAACTATTTTGCTCTCACCTCTATGTATATTCTTTCGTTCAATCACTAATCTGGTAAGGAGGTCTAATTACAAATTTCACTTTCAACATTTATTAAGTATGTTTAATTACTCCGTTTCTTCCAAATAATGAGAATCGTGATTGATATTTGTAATTTTACTAAATTAAAAATTTAAGCTTCAAAGAAGGACGTTTATTTGGTTTATCTTAAAGTTCTACTTTATTTATACCTATAGCTGATTGCCACTGCTTTCTTTTAATTTTATTATTAATTAATAAAAATTCGATCAAGTAATTATTTAATTGAATAACAAAATCTGAACCCAATTGAGTTACAAAATTGAATAGAATTAAAAATAATTGAATATAATTGAGTTAAAAAAATATATATATATATAAAAATTTTAAAAATCATAATTAGAAAACGATTTATTTGATTCAAACATTTTTTGTTTAAATAAAACTTAAAATATCTTTGCTATACAGTCAAACATATTTAAGTTCAATTGGAACATATTTTTTGGTTCATTTAAAGAAAAATATATTTAATTCAAACATAAGTTACGGTTGATTTTAAATTATTTATAATCAACCAAATTAAACTATAATTAAACCAAATTATGCTTTACGGAATTTATCATTTTTTTATTTTTCCTTTTTCTACTTTCTGCATTTCTTGTTATTGACCCCCTCCCCAAGCAAATCCGAAAAATGCATTGCTTTTTTTGACGGACGAAATTTTTATACAGTAAAAACTCTCTAAGGTCACGTGAAAAAGTTACCGCGGGAATTTCCATTTAGTGAAAATAAAAATGAAAAAATTCCAGAGATTTTCCGGGACTATTCTCGTGAACTTTTCCACTTAGAAGTGTCCTTACATACTGCTTTTTTCATCTACCAATTGTTCTCAGAATTTGATTTTTGAAAAATGAATAACTTTTGCAAAATTTTTTCGTTTTTCAATTTTTTGATTAAGGATTGAAAATATGTAACTCATTAAAAATTTTTATTGAAATTTTAGTTTTAACTATATTTTTATTTTAATTTTTTTAGCTTTTTGAGGCACAAAATTTTAAAAAAATTTTAATGAATTTGTTGCATTTTCATTTTTTATGAAACTTGGTAATTTTTAAAAAATTATTGAATATTCATTTATTCTCTTTAATTACTTTTTAGAAATTTTTTAAATGTTATGAGTCGTTGACAATAAATTAAGTTAGTTTTTAAAAATTCAAAATGTCAGCTTTAATGTATTGGAAAAAATAATTAAAATAGTATACCTAATTTCTAAAATCAATGATTTCGAAATGAATTTTTAAAAACAGCATTAACATTACTAATTTAATTAGTAATTTTTGTCACATTTTGAATTTTCAAAATTGAACCAATCAATAATCACACAATTAAAAGAATCATTTTTTATTATTAATTTGATAGAATTGAAAAAAATTTTGTAAACTCTCTTAATCTGAATCAGTGAAAGACTGAGAATCAGTGACTCCATTCTCACGATTTCTAACAGTGAAAATTCACTGAAAATCAGTTAAAAATTACTAGAATATCAGTCATTTTTCAATAATTCAGCCCCTGGATTCTATAACTGCCGCTACGCTCGAACGGGTCGCCTGTATGCCAGTCAGGTTAACCAAAAGTGGAAAAAAGTAAAATTAATCATTTTAATTTTTTAAAAACACTATGGTATAAAAAATAAAAATGCCCATCTTTTTTTCCTTTGTGATTTTTTTGTAAATTTAGTATTTTAAATAATAAAGACAAAAAACTAAAAAAATTTTTTTATGAAATTTAATAAACTTTTAAAACATAACTCGTCATATATTGGACAAATCTTAATCAATTTATTTCAGATTTGGTATTTAAACAAATTAAGTCCTTTTGAAGCCGATAAGCCTAAAACAATTAAACAATATTCATATTGTTTAACAATAAATAATAACAAAGTTGTCACTTTAATTCTATACACTTTCCAACTTTCAAATCAAAAAAGTTATAGAGGGAATTTTCAATCTGTAAAAACTTCTCGCGACAAAGTTTTTCCTTTATTATTAAGGAAGTTTTTCCCAAAATTTGGAATGAAATGAAAAGTAAAGAACTTTAAAGGAAATAGAAAAATTGTATTTTTCACCATAGTGTATCAGCAGACATGGCGTAACATAGCATATAGGAGATTCTTCAGGGGCGTCCTTATTACATAAAGTTCTTGTTCCAGAAGCAAACGGAGATATTCAAAAGTTTTTTTAATAATTATTTTACATATTATTAATATTATTATTAAATATTATTTATTATTATCAAGTAATGTATTATTTATTAATACATTTTATTAATATTACCGCCTTTTCAATTGTCGGTCGAATTATAATTATAATTATATCGGTCTTTATTATTTAAAATACTAAATTTACAAAAAAATCACAAAGGAAAAAAAGATGGGCATTTTTATTTTTTATATCATAGTGTTTTTAAAAAATTAAAATGATTAATTTTACTTTTTTCCACTTTTGGTTAACCTGACTGGCATACAGGCGACCCGTTCGAGCGTAGCGGCAGTTATAGAATCCAGGGGCTGAATTGGACAATTAAAAAATTACTGTAAATTTTAGTCACGTATATTGAAAATTTCAGATATTTTTTAATTGACTAATCAGTAAAAAATGACTGATGTTTTAATTATTTTTAATAAATTTTCAGTAAAGTTTCACTGATTTAAATCATGAGAATAGAGTAACTGAAAATCATTCAAATTTCACTGAATCAGTTTTACAGAAAAAGCTTACAATTTTAAAAAGAATTTTCAATTAAAATTAAAAATTATAAGGTGACGACTATCAAAAAAATTAGAGAGTTTCAACTGTATAAACAAATTTAGAAAAGAAGTTTTTTTCAGCTTCAATCGCTTCTTACAAGATAATAATTAGCTATAATACCAAAAAAGCTATCTCTGAAATGCTTGAATCCAAACAGTAAAAAAATAAATGCTAAAATTTGTTACAGAAAATAAAAAAAAAGTTGAATGATAAAACAAAATTTATGCTAAGCCAAATATAACGACTTTCTTGCTTTACACTAGTCGATAAGATCAACATAATATTTTTAAGCTTAGAATGTAAGCTAGAGCTAAGTTAAAGGTAGCAAAATGTTACTTCCTGCTCCGATTACTTCCGGCACTGAATTCACACAAATTCTTCGAAAGAAACACTTCAAAAGAAATTTTAAATTATAAATTATTCGTATAAGGACGGGAGGAGGGGAAAAAAGTCTTTCAAACGAAATGTCTCGAGAATTCCAAGTAGGAAAATTCATAAAGTTAGTCTCGTAGATGTATCTTAATCAGACTGTAAAAAATATCTTTCAAAATAATAAACTTTTGAAAATTTGAACCTTTTTTTAAAAACTACTAAAAATATTAATTTTACATGTGAAGGAATAAAACTTAAAAATATTTAAAAAATTCTTTAAAATTTGTAATTGAAAAAAATTGAAGGGGTAAATTTAACTTTCCTTTTCCTAATTGAAAATCTTAAACTAATAAATTAAAAGAATTAGAGGAAAAGAAATTTAGGCTCGAAAATTTATTGGGAATTTTATTATTTATTTTTTTGTTTCGGAGATAAAAAAAAGTGTGAAATAAGTTGGAAGAAACTCGGAACCAGGGGGGCCCCATATATAATGAGCGAATCATATTAAAATGTGGTGCCCGATATTTTAGCTTTCTGAGGAGGTAAGGATATCTCATCCACTGATGCACTTCCGAGTCTCTACCTATCCTTCGTTTTCCTCTACGTTACGTAACGAAGTCTGTTGTTATGGTAGTGCCTCTGGAGAATCGTAATTACAAAAAAAAAATTTTTTTCAAAACTTTGACGTTTTAGTAGTTTTCTTGATGAACATGTTTATTAATGCTACCTTTATACTGATAATTACAATTTTACAGAGTATAAACGTTAAATCTGTACGTATGTAGATAGACGGTAGATCGCGTACGTTTCTTGAAAAAAAATGAAGAACTTGTTTTTTTCTCGGACATTCAAATACTTTTTTCAAATTATTATTTACGATATTCAAGTACTTTTTTCAAAATAATGAAAAAACTGTTTTTCTTGATGACAGATTTTATAATTATGCTTTCTTTTTCTCCTTAAAATATGATTTGTTTTCTTGCTTCAATGAGTGTTTCTTCAATGTGTTTACACCATTAGTTTAAGGCCGACGTAAGTTCTAAACTTTAGAACGTGAATTACGGAGTGGGTACAATGAGAGGGAGAAAGAAGTTCGAATTTTTCTCTTTCACTCCCTTTGCCTCTCTCTTGCGCTCCCTATCCAGGACCGGGATTACGAATAGCAGAATTGCTAAGTTAGCGAGCTGCTCACTGAGCAATGTCAGCCATATTCCCATTGGAAACTGTTTCCAACTTTTTTAACTAATATTGCTAACAAACAGTCTGCTAATTAAGCAATTTAGCTATCCATAATTTCGATCCAAGATATTCCTTAACTGATATCGCTAACAAGCAGTCTGCTAAGTACACTGAAAAAACCTAGGTTCCTTGTAGCTTACGCTACTCAATTTGAAATGCAACAAAAATGAACCTCGTAGATGGCGCCACGTTATATGGCGTTTAACATTGGCTCATTTTGAGTTGCAAGAAAAATGAGTCCAGGTTTTTTGTGTATAAGCAATTTTGCTATTTTTATCCCGGTCTAGGGATGCTAACGATTTTTACCAGAAGCAACTGCCCTTGCGCAACTCTCATCTTTTTATTCGTAGAAAATAGTATGTCTTTTTTTATTGACCATTATGTATAAAATATTTATTGTTATAGATTATTATTACTTTATTATTACACAATATTAATTAATTAAAGTTGACTGACATATCTTTTTTATTTTTAATATGAACAAGGAAGTCAATAATAAATAATTAAAACTTTGATTTTTAAAGAATTCCAATATTATTCGAACCAAATTTAAACGTAAAATAAATTAATAATTTTCTTTTTGAATAGAAAAATATTATGGAAATAAAAACTGTCAATTTTGCAGTATTAAGGGGCACACCTAGTGTGAGTGACTGAAAACGGTGATTTTTAGGAATTTTTTTCAGGGAAATTATTGCATCTAATTTTTTTAAAGTTTTGTACATGTATATTTGTATAAATAGTGAACATTTTGTAATTTTTTCAAAGAAAAATATCTTTTTTTTAAAAAGTTATTCGCTATCTCCTGAGTATCCAAAAAAAAAAAGTTCTCCCACTGCTGCAGTGATTGCGGCCTTCTCAGTGACCTAAATCAAAAAAACCAAAAAGATTATTAAACTAGAAGATATTTGCCGTACAATGACCCTCGGATGTCAAAAAATATTGAATTACAACAAAATGGCGGAGTTTTGAAAAAAGCTTTTCAATTTCGCCAAAAAAGTCCGATGGTTCTTGGCATCCCAAAATTTTATTTTTCATTTAATCAAAAAACTGGAGCCTCATTGTACGGAAAATATCTTCTAGTTTAATAATCTATTTGGTTTTTTTGATTTCAGTCACACAGAAGGCCGCAATCACTGCAGCAGTGGGAAAACTGGTTTTTTTTGGATATAGCGAATAACTCTTTAAAAAATAGTTATTTATGATACAAGTGCGTAAAATCGTTGATTATACGAGTGTGACGTTTGCAGCTCGAGCCGAAGGCGAGTGCTGCAAGTCACACAAGTATAATCTGATTTACGCACGAGTGCCATACAAAATTTTTTGCAACACTAAAACAACTAAACTTGCAGCAATATTGCCAATATTACTGTAACTTTAGTTGTAGTGGGGAACTGTTAAATGAAGTTTTCTAGAAGCTAAAATAAAAAAATGTGATTGTAAATTGTTAATTAAAAGCATTATTTCATTGTTTCTCATCAAACAGTCACAAGAATGCGTAAAGTAACCCTTTTACGCACTGAAAATCACTTTACACACTGGAATTCACTTTACACACTGCTAGCGGTGTGTAAAGTAACACTTTACATACCGCTATAAAAAGAAGTACTTTACACACAGTTTTCTGTGTGTAAAATTCAATTTTACAGGTTAGTGTTGCAAAAAAGATATTTTTCTTTGAAGAAATTAAAAAATGTTCACTATTTATACAAATAAACATGTACAAAACTTTAAAAAAAATTAGATGCAATAATTTCCCTAAAAAAAATTCCTAAAAATCGACGTTTTTTTCAGTCACTCATACTAGGTGTGCCCCTTAATATTTTAAAAATCTGTTTTTTGTTCAACAGTTAAATGTATTAAAGCCCTTTAAACAAGTATCGTTTTTTACCATAATGAGAGATTTATAGTGGCAAAAGCGCACTTGGTTTTGGTGACGGTCGTTGGCATTTTTGACGAACAGCTTTTTACAAGTTACGCCCGACCTAAGCCAGCAGTGTAACAACGCTCAATGACGATTTTGAATCAAGTCCAATTTTGGCTTTGTAATATTTTATCGATCAAGATTATTATTGCTCTTAAACTATTAAATAAATAGTTATAAAATATTGTTAATATAATTATAAATAACAAAATACTTTTAATATTAATATTATTAACATAATTATTACAACACAGATAGTACACAAGCTTACGGCAAGCCTACGTCATGCAATATTGCTAAGCTTGCAACACAAGATTGCACAAGCCTGTCTAAGATATAAAAGTGTTCAATAAATAGCAAGCTTTGCTAGAATATTGCAAGCTTGCAGCAGCTTTCTGTAATTTTTCGAAATTATTTCTCAAATTTAAAAAAAAGTTCTCTTTTTTTCTAATTTGAAAATCTTCTTGGAGTTAATTTTTATTAAATATGGCTTACTTGTTATATTTTGAAACTTAGCATTGATGAGAAATATTTTAAACAAATTCAAAGGGACTAGGAATTGAATCCGGGTTCCACGATCGCAAACCAAAGACCATAACCGACAATCTAAACAACTAACTATTACAAGAAAAATCTTTCAATTAATCTGAAACTGATTTCAAGCAAGTTTTTTTTCTGATAATTGTTTAGCTCGTCGGTTAGAGTCTTTGGTTAGCGTCTCTCGGATGCGGGTTCAATTTCGAGTTCTCTCAAATTTGTTTCAAAAATTTCTTATCAATGCTAACTTCCAAAATATAACAAATAAGACATAATTAATAAAAATTAACTTTAGAAAGATCTTAAAATTTGAACAAAGCTTGTAATAACTTCACAACAAATTTGTAGCAATCTTTCATGGTAACTTTGCAGGAACCCTTCTTAGTAAGATTGAATTGTAAGCTTACGTGCTATTTGGGAAATAATAATGTAAAGTTATTAATATTAGTATTGTTAATATAATAATAAATAATAAAATTTATATTATTATTATTATAAATAGTAATAGAAAATTGTCAATAATATTATTGTTATTTCACCAAGTAATAATCGAAAATTAATAACATTATAACACGGAAAAAAATTTTTACCTGGAACAGCGATTTTCTCTAAAATAGCGAAAGTATTAATTAAAACAACTAAAAATTTCCTTAATGTAGTGAAATTTTTAGCTGTTTCAAGTGAGGATTTTTTCCCGTAAAGCTTTAATAATACAATGAAAAAAGTGATATTGTCGATTTTGTCATACGAGTATGGTAGGACATAGCTGAAACAGCAATACTGTATTTCTGTTCCTCAAATACAGTATTTGTGTTCTTCACATACATATTACTGTCCCTCACATACATATGGCTGTTCTACACTACGTATGACTGAAACATCAATACCCCAACGGGAAGTTGCCAATGGTAACGATTGGTTCAATAATGGGCCATGCTTGGTGCCCAATGATTTTTTCTTGGCAAAACAATTGGCAACCATCATTGGACCACCAATGGTTTAAACTTGGGATGATAACGCTACTGCCAATGATCGGTAGCCAAGCATCGGGCCAATATTAGTTGCCAAGAAGAAATCACTAGCATGCACTCTGGCGGCGATTGTCGGAACTGTTTTCTGGCGCGCATCCATATCCTAAAATTATCGACACAGCGCTTGGCAACCAACGTTGCGCCACTTCTGACAAGCGCTGCCAGAGTGCATGCTAGTGATTTCTTCTCGCTTGTGACCTGTTACACTGGCTCTATAAGTACCTGCTCCTCTCTCGCAAAGACATTCACAGTTATCCCTCCACTGTGAGATACGGTGAGGGAATTTTTATCAGTCTTTCACCTTTATTTTACCAGAGGTGAAAAATTTAATTAATATTAAATATTAAATTTAAATTTACGAAGATGTAATATCCTTATTCCAATGAAATAGCCATGTAGTCTCTTCCTTGTCCTCCAAGGTGTAATCGAACTTCCCGTGTAGAAATTTGTCGTGGCCTTCCTAGAAATAGACTACAGCTAGATAGCATTTGTCGTGGAAAATCATTCTGAAAAAACTGTCCTGGCCCCGAAATGTTAAAGTACAGTTTTCCCCTTTATTTTCTTCGCTATAAAGACAGTCTAGAATCTGGCTAAGATTTGTCTAGGATACTGAATTGAAAATTCAGTACAAGTTCGTATAGCAGGTTGTCCAAGAATTAGCTATAGGCACTGTCTAGGACGCTGACTTAAGAATTTAGTACAAGTTCGTGGAGAAGATGGCTCTGAGAGTCTACTAAGCTAGCAGACGAAATCAGTTCTTGACGTAGTGCTTGATGAAAGGAAACCAAGAGTCTACAATTGTAACTTATCTTGTTGTGAAGATAAAATCAAATTTATAAATCTATTGAAAAGTTTTCAGTTTTCCATTTTTGAACAGGGACAGTGTACAAGTTTAAATA